TCAACGAAATTATTTGGAATCTTGTACACGTTTCTGTACGTAATTGAAATCATCGAAAAAAAAAAAAAAAAAAAAAAAAAATAAAATTTTTGTTGCAGAGATTCAATGCCGTATTTATGCCAAAAAAGAGTTTAAAGACTAATTTTGTATTTAGACACGTAACCTAAATCTCAATCTCACGAGCATCGTACCATTTATACGGACTTCAACAGCCACAAGATATCGTTTATCGTCATGCTTGATTATTATAATCGTCAACTATAATTACGAACTCGTAATCTGTTAGAAGAACGATAACTAGCAAGATTTTGTTGGCTAACAAATATGTATAGATGTATTCTAATGGCCATCGAATTGAGACTTAGATTATTCAGCTCTATAAGATCGATATAACAAAAGTAACTATTACAGTTGCAAATGGTTGAATATAAAGCCACATTAATTCCTGCACCCAACATTTTATGGATTATTATATACAACGGCCTGGAACAAGAGCAGAACCGTTTACGAGATTTCCTATCCACGAAACAGTAGTACGCTCATACAGACTAGATAACTAAGTTTGTTATGAATTCATCTCAGTTAATTATCGCGCGGGAACAATGAACGAACCGCGCGGCCCGTCGGATCTTTCGCTTCGAACCTTTGCCTTTGTGCGTGGAGCGGGGCACGATTAGTTGGAATTAATAATGCTCACTATTTACGTAACGCTACGCGTACGGTTACTTAAAGGGTATTGCCGTGTTGCGCGTCAGCTTCTACGATGTAACAATGCATTATGGAGCGGAATCGCGCGATTTCCGATAAGTCCTTCGATTTTTTCTCGGTTCGCCGAGCAGTCATTTGTATAAATTGAGGCTACGCTCGATACGCCGCTTTCGAAACTAGGGAGCGTCTTGCCAACCGCGAAGGACGCGAAAGGAATCACGTTCTTCATTTATTTTCGAAATTTAGCACCGTTTTGACGCGTTGGCCGTCACGTCACCCATATATGGGTGACAGAGCTTTTCGCTAAGGAACTTCAACGATTCATTTTAAACGTTGAGTGTTGACGAAATCGAATTGGGAGAGAATTCGTAAATTTTTATGAGAATACAAAAACAAGTAACACGACGAATGTTAGATTCTAAGGTCTGTTATCGTTTACGAGACAAAATTTTAGGCCTGCGGACATTGTCGGATGAATCGGTTCGGCAGCCAACGTGTTAAACATTCCGCTTTAAACATTCCATCTATCGGATAACAACGTTCCTTCCTAAATCACGACTTCTCGAATTTCGCGAATTTGAATTTTTCCTAGAAAAAAAACAACCGACGAATCATTTTTTGAACTCCTTTCTCCTTTTCAATTTAACATTCTGTCCACGGTGATTGGCAGGACGCTGATCGAATCCACGGGTTTTTGACAAGTTTGAGAAACACTGGTCTAAAAGTTAATAGAGCTCTCGAGAACGTTGCCTCGATGCAGAAAAATTCCAGATTCGATCGACGTGTATGTACATACATACTCGCGGCCAGAATTTTCTACGCGGCCCGTTAGCCTGTTCGATGGTTTTCGATTGTTGATAAATACTTGGTCGACGAGTGTTTCGGTTTCCCTTGTTCGTCAACTCTTCGACACGAACGCGCGTACAAATTGCTCGCAAGTGTTTACGGGGGCCGGTGATTTGTTTATTTTAAATTTACGGGGGCCAGTGATTTGTTTACTTTAAATTTACGGGATTTAACCTCCACGGGTGAAACAAGGAATTCGGGGTGGAACTTGAAAGACAAGCCTCGGACGAATTGTGAAAACTTGCCATTAACCCTTTGGCGCTCGGGTGGCGCCTCTAGGGCGACATATGTAATTTAAAAGCGATTTTGTGAACGTACAATTTCAAATTCACTTACATCGGAATACAACTAATTATTAGGTAGACTGGAAAGTAATGTCGTTTCTTTTACACTAAATTCAAACAAATTTTTGATAAATTTCTATTTTTAATCAATTACGTAATCGCCCTCGTTATCAACAGCCACCTAGTGTGAAAATTTTCAATGATCGATAAAAATCAACGAGTTGTTGAGTGATAAACAAGGATTTAAAATTGCAAAAACGACATTACTTTCCAGTCTACCTAATAGTAATTGAAATAATAATACATCCGAGTCATGAACGTTCGTAGATGCTTTTCTTCGAAGCAGTGTTTTTCGTTTCACAGAAATTTGTTATAGAAATGGACTGGATTTGATTCTATAGAAAAATGCCTCGAGCGCAATGGGTTAATAAATGCGATCAACATTGATTAGGGTTGTAGATAGTAATTCTTCAAACATGATGCGTAGTAGGTGTAGAAATTAATTCTGTTCCTGCATAATCCAGAAGGCAAATA